TCGTTGGTATCAGTGGGAGGAATAATGCCCCATCGTTGGTATCAGTGGGAGGAATAGTGCCCCATCGTTGGTGTCAGTGGGAAGAATAGTGCCCCATCGTTGGTGTCAGTGGGGGGAGGAATAGTGCCCATCATTGGTGTCAGTGGGGGGAGGAATAGTGCCCCATCATAGGTGTCAGTGGGGGGAATAGTGCCCCATCATTGGTGTCAGTGGGGGGAATAGTGCCCCATCATTGGTGTCAGTGGGGGAATAGTGCCCCATCAGTGTCAGTGGGGGGATAGTGCCCCATCATTGGTGTCAGTGGGGGGAATAGTGCCCCATCATTGGTGTCAGTGGGAGGAATAGTGCCCCATCACTGGTGTCAGTGGGAGGAATAGTGTCCCATCACTGATGTCAGTGGGAGGAAAAGTGTCCCATCACTGGTATCAGTGGGAGGAATAGTGCCCCAACACTGGTGTCAGTGGGAGGAATAGTGCCCCATCATTGGTATCAGTGGGAGGAATAGTGCCCCATCATTGGTATCAGTGGGAGGAATAGTGCCCCATCATTGGTATCAGTGGGAGGAATAGTGCCCCATCATTGGTATCAGGGGGAGAAATAGTGCCCCAACATTGGTGTCAGTGGGAGGAATAGTGCCCCAACATTGGTGTCAGTGGGAGGAATAGTGCCCCATCGTTGGTATCAGTGGGAAGTATAGTGCCCCATCGTTGGTGTCAGTGGGAGGAATAGTGCCCCATCGTTGGTGTCAGTGGGAGGAATAGTGCCCCATCGTTGGTATCAGGGGGAGCAATAGTGCCCCAACATTGGTGTCAGTGGGAGGAATAGTGCCCCATCGTTGGTATCAGTGGGAGGAATAGTGCCCCATCGTTGGTGTCAGTGGGAGGAATAGTGCCCCATCGTTGGTGTCAGTGGGGGGAGGAATAGTGCCCCATCGTTGGTGTCAGTGGGGGGAGGAATAGTGCCCTATCATTGGTATTAGTGACACCAATGATTGGGCACTATTCCTCCCACTGACACCAATGATACTTACCTTGCTGACCCCTGCTCCAGCCTGGGCTCGCTCGCTCCCTCCCTCTCCCATGGTACAGACACTTACCGGTCAGATGTCTTCCTTCTCCGACCGCTCTCCTCCTCTTCACTCGCTCGATCTTCGCGGTGCCGCTCGGCTCCTCCTTTCCAAGCTCCACCTCCTCGCCGGTGATTGGCCGCCTGTGTGCCTCTCCTGAGCTACAGTTCCGGCAGCCAATCACCGACGAGGATTGATCCCGGGGGGGTGTCCAGATGACACACAGGGACGGCATGTCATCCCGCCCACACCTGGAGACGAATAGAGGAGCGGTGTCTCGGTTCCTAAGGCCATCGGAAATATGTGTTTTCCGATGGTCTTAGGCGACCCCTGGGAAAGTGTCGTTCGACCCCCAAAGGGGTCGCGACCCCCAGGTTGAGAACCGCTGTCCTAGGGTGACAACACTCTCACTATACTGTATTTATAGAGGAGCAGTATCGTTACCGAAAGACAGGAGGAGAAGTGTTAGGAACGCTGAACATCTCCTCTTTTCCTAGTCTCCATAACATTGGGACAATGTGTCCTGTAGTCCACAGAGGTGAACTTGGCAGAATATCTGCAGCAAGTCAGATAAATCCTGGCTCATTTCCAGAGGACATCCAGCATGATCTATCCCTTCTTTTTACCAGCCTCTTTGGTAGAGTAACATCCTTGGCTATTCAAAAGTGAAGGACTGTCCTTGGCTTCTACCCGTGAAATGCATTGAATTGTCAATGTGTTTCAAAGATGGAACCTGCTTTGTGAAATGTGTTGAAAATTCATATGCCATCACCCCAGAACTGAAATATTGTATTGCTGGGTGCCACTAAATGTATCATTTGATGCTTCAATTAATTGTATATATTAAATCTTGGGTTTTGTATGGGCAAATGCCTGTGGTATTGTCACAATCAGGGGTCAGACTCGGAAACCAGTAACTATAGCAGTAGGGAGGTTTCCACCAACCAGCAAGAGAGGTATACAAGCAGGTCACCCTGGCAGATGACATATGCTCACCTGAGATGCGTGAGATGTGGGGTCTAAGCACTAACTGGCATTCAACAGAGCTGCTGCTGGTGGAGAAGGGATTTGCTGCATGTTAATAGCAGGTCGTGGTCTTTAGGATTGCCCCAACAGGATGTGAGCCAAAGTAAGGTAACAGATATAGCAGGTAGGGACCAAGCACAAGCATAGTCAGTAAACAAGCCAAAGGTCAGTAATAGGTGGTTCTTAGGTTGGGATCAAGCAGAAGCATAGTCAAGGAACAAGCTAAAGGTTGGTAACAAGTGGTAGTGAAGAAGAGGATGGCAGTAGGAGTGACAAGCGTGAGATATCGGCTGGAGAGAGCACAATAATCTGGCAAACAGGAAGTGCAAATATATGGTTTAAATAGGAAGTTCATGGGGGGAGCAAAGGGTTCAAGGTTCAAGAGAAACAAGACGCAAGGCAAGGTTGTCTGAGGAGTCAGGCACAGAGCTGTCCAGCATCTCAAGTTGTTCATTAAGAAGAAACACTGCTAGTCACAGAGATTGCAGGTTCAGATCTGAGTCCTGACAGGTATATATATATATATATATATATATATATATATATATATATATATATATATATATATATACACACACACACTGTATATATAAAGTACATATACTGTGCAAAACCAAATATCGTACTTGGGTGAATTCCCAGCCTATGTAATTCCAGTACGGTTCTTTAATTACAAAAAATCTTTTCTGGATAAATTAACAAAAGATTTGTGACTTAAAAAGGTTTTAATGCCATTTTTGTTAACTAACTGAATGCCAATTTTGAAAAAATTGTTATGAATAGCACTTGAAAAGTTAATTTTTTTGTTTCCTGTTTGTTATCACAAAATAAGGTATGTAATGAAAAATTAAAAGATTTTCTTTAAAAATTTCATTAGCAAGCTGATATGGGTGAGATAAGGGGGGTTGGCAAATATAAGCAGCTTAAACTTCATCTTAAGGCCTCATACAAACTGGAAGTTTTCTTAACTCTTCTAGAAGCCTTCCTCCTGGCAGTAGCATTTTGGAGCTTTTAAAAAGTGTGTAACGAGTTTAAGCACTTTTAGCTACATCACGCATTTGGGCGTTAATTAATTTCATTGCTCAAGCTCTAAGCGCACCAAGCATTAACATTTGCTTAGATGCATCAAGCGTTTTTTTCTGCCAAAACTCTGCTGCTCCTGGACGTACTGGCAGTGGGTTTTTCTCCTGCCTCCAAACTCTTCTGCCACTAAAGGCCTCTAAAAGTTTATGTGTGCATGGACACATAGGATAACATGCAGAGGAGTTTAAAGGCAGGAGATAAAACACCAGACACCCCTAGGAGCAATTGTAAAAATGTCCAGTGTGCATGATTCATCTATTTTGCATTAGAGATAATGTATAGTGAAATATGCTTGCCTGTTCACACCATGTAACATCTGGGGCAGTGCCTTGGCCATCGCAGTAAAAAAAGCAAAAACTAGAAGTTTGGGTGAATCATTCTACCAGCAACCTATTGAGCTTGGAATACATGCTTTTGGCGGCTATGCTAAAGTATGCACTGCTAATATGAATGAAACTACTGTGCCAGTATGAAGGATTATAACTCCTACAATATCTTTCTTTTTTTTTTTCCAAAAACAATTTTATTGAGAAATAAAGCAGAATGGTAACAAATACAGGTTACATTCGGATCATGTATACAACTCAGTAAATGCCCGTATCTCTGACGGGGTATAAATCTGGAACACTTATAATGTCATCAGTTAACATTGCATGAGTTAAGAGGACATAAACAAAAAAAACAGAAGAGAACATGTTCCAAGCAAGGATTGACATAGAATAAGGTGAACAGAGCAGTTGGGTACAGACATCAGCCAAACCTCATATGAGCCCCTTTAAATGACAAATGTGATGTAATACAAAGTGGGAGGATGGTGAGAACAATGGATAATAGGGTGTCCGGAGGCTGAGGAGCTGCAATTGTACCTGTGGGTCTGCTGGTATTCTAAGTTATTCTAAACTCAGAGATATGGGAAGGTAATGTTGAGAATGTAGGATAGGGCAAAGTAGGAGAAAGGGAGGGAGAGAAAGAGGGAGGCAAGAAGAGGGAGAGAGATGGAGGAGAAGGAGAAAAAAAAAGGGGGGGAGGTAGGGAGAAAAGGGGGAGCCGCTGCAACTACTCCAGGTCAAACAGGTTAAGATAATCCAAGCAACAATCGGAGGTCTCGTACGACAATCTAGGTAGGCATGTGCAGTAGTCCAATATATAGGTCACTTTCCGTGATATTTGGGGCGTAATATTCGGTCTCAGTCAGGTAAGATGCACATTATATGATCTTTCAAAACCCATTCAGTAAGTGAAATACTTGCAAGATTCTGTTCCTGTGGTTATATTTAGAGATGAGCGAATTATTCAAAAATTCGATTCGGCTGATTCGCCGAATTTGTGGAATAAATTCGATTCGATGCGAATTTATTCGCTGTGAATTTAACTTATAAAAAGGGTTTCTAGGATTCAGAGAACCTTTATATTAGTGCAGAACACTGTACCTTTAATTTAAATGCCCTTGGAGTCTGCTGGGGAAGAGAAATAATACTGTCAGTAGGTATGACATGCAGATGAGTGCCGTCGATCTTAGAATCACCGCACACTTCACTCATTTGGGCAGTCACGGGGCCAAAACCAGAGTGTGGAGCCACAGTGTGGCGGTGGAGGCAGCAGCAATGGGAGGCCATACAGCACCCTATGACAAAATGGAACCCACCAGCAGTGTGAGGAGACCTGAAAGTGGCACATGGCAGAGTGTGGCGATGGAGACAGCAGCAATGGGAGGCCGTACAGGGACCCATGACACACTCTGGACCTGGCAGCAGCATGAGGAGGCGGTACAGGGGCCCATGGCAAGAAGAAGAAGAAGAAGAAGAAGAAGATGAGGATGAGGATGAGAATGAAGAAGAAGAAGAAGTAGGATGAGGATGAAGAAGAAGAGGAAGAAGAAGAAGAAGTAGGATGAGGATGAAGAAGAAGAAGTAGGATGAGGATGAAGAAGAAGAAGAAGAAGAAGAAGTAGGATGAGGATGAAGAAGAAGAAGAAGAAGAAGAAGAAGAAGTAGGATGAGGATGAAGAAGAAGAAGAAGAAGAAGAAGTAGGATGAGGATGAAGAAGAAGAAGAAGAAGTAGGATGAGGATGAAGAAGAAGAAGAAGAAGAAGAAGATGAGAAGACGAAGAAGAAGTAGGATGAGGATGAAGAAGAAGAAGAAGAAGTAGGAATGAGGATGAAGAAGAAGAAGAAGAAGAAGAAGTAGGATGAGGATGAAGAAGAAGAAGAAGAAGAAGTAGGATGAGGATGAAAGAAGAAGAAGAAGAAGAAGTAGGATGAGGATGAAGAAGAATTCCAGTGCAGCAAAAAGTGTATCTGCAGAGAGCTCCGCTATTTCTGACAGTTCTCTGACAGTTCCTTCACATTTACAGTGGTTGAAACATTGTATCTATTTGTTTCCGAATAAAAACATCTGTATCCTAAATGGAAACAAATAGATACAATGTTTCAACTGCTGTAAATGTGAAGGAACTGTCAGAGAACTGTCAGAAATAGCGGAGCTCTCTGCAGGGACACTTTTTGCCGGCTGTAGAAGGGATGAAAATCGGCCGATCGGGGAAAATTCGATTTGCGCATCCGAAGTTTGCTAATATTCGGATTCGACGCGAATCGAATTTTTCCTAATATTCGAAACGAATTCCACTTCGCCAGGTTCGATTCGCTCATCTCTAGTTATATTGTAAGCTCTCTCCTGTGAATTTTAATGAAGTAATTGAGTCTGGTTTATTTTAATGTCAGCAATGAATTTCTGCTGCAACTAAAGTGTGTATATTAACTAATGTCTTGTATGTTCCCAATATTAATGTTCCTTCTGTCTGAGAAGATATGGTGGCAATTTAAACAAACATCACTGAGCAATTACCGTCAGATGTAGTTCTGTTGGAATGTATTTGTTGGAAAAGCCCTTTCTAAGGGTAGGTTAAACTGGGGAATTGACATCATCTTTGAACAGAGTTAGAAAAAAAATTCAACTGTTAATTGTGCCATTTGTACAAGTGCAGTATGTGAAATTCTAGGTAAAGGGGTGATTACTGCATGGATGTTTGAAAAACAATTGCGCTAGCAGGAAAACAGCTATTAAAGGCCAGTCCATGAAAAAACAGTTCTGACTGCTGAAGGGTTCAATTACCCAGTAGTGACAGGTGAGTATAACAGCAGGGAACAGCAGGAGGCAACTGATTTATTGGAACAGGACATAAGAAAATAGGCATATGACAAGGGGTATTGTATTTGGGTTGGTGGGATAGGATTATATATGCCAATAAAACTCCCATCCGTAACCTCTAAGATCACTATATAAACAACACCACACGTAGGCTTGATTAATATTACTTTTGATGCCAAATAAATTAAACAACCAAACAATAAACCACTGAAAATGGTATTGAGGTCATAAAAGGGCATCCTAATAATACACTTGAATCCACACACCAAGGTCACAGCCATATCATATCCTCTTGGGGATCTTTACCAATTTCAATTCAGATATCTAAATTTCACCACAACATTTCCAGTTGAAACGGCGATGCCATACCTGATACAGCTCCTCTGTACCAGGTGAGCATTGACTGCAGATACTTGTCTTTCCGAGACTGCAGAGCCGTACACAAAAAATTATATCTGAAGGAATGAGAATAAAAAAAAAAAAAATAACTGTCCTGGATACTAAAGCATATTATGACATGATCAAGCCTGTACTTGACAGTAATAAGCTGCTAGACCCACGCGTTGACACAAGGAGGAGGGGGTCAAATGCTCCTCATAGTTATAACCAGGTTTAATTACCAGCTGTGATGTAGTCAGTGATGGAGCACTGCCAAGCTAGGTTAGGGAAGTACATTTACAAAGACACTGTTATTTTGCTCTAAATAGGTGTAGCGTGCCTCAGGTTTAGCTTTTGGGAGATAGTCAGGTTTTTAGGCAGAGGTTGAATAGCAACCTGAGATGAGTCTGCGTGGGTGTGAGTCAGCCAAGTCACTTTGGGTCAGGGCTGGGGGCACTGCAGGTCAGTTTCCTGATACATCCTCCTGCTCTAGAGGCTTGAGAAGCCAGTAGGTGGGGGTGAGAAGGGGCTGATCTGCATTCGTAAGGGATCTTGGACAATCCCTAAGCAGTAGGCTTGGCATGGGGCCAGGATAGCCCTTAAATATGAGAGAGCCTGATCAGCAGGGGTGTAGTGTCGGATGCAAGATGGAGTGAAGACTGAAGTATGGAGCCTGGATGGGGGCCTACCTACAGGCAGGAGCTGGAAGGGAGGATCTCTCAGCCTCAACCATCCCCTGAAAGAGGACAGCCTGGGAAGTAGGGAAGGAGCCAGCTCAGCGTAAGGCAGCCACCAACTCACAAGCTTGCAGGAGAGGACTGAGTGAGTAATCCCACACACCCTGGGCCAGATAAGGGGAGAGGGCAATCAGGCGGCCAACCCAACTAGCTCTTCATTTGGAGCTGCTCTGCTAAAGTGCCAGTTTCTGGGCCCCCTTGCTCAGGGATTCCCTCAGGCATCTGGGTGAAGAGGAGAATTCATCTGGGGTTTGAATTGGTGCATCAGGAAGGCTGGAGAGCTCTCCAAGAAGAGAATCTTTGACTGTGGACTAGTACATAGTTGCTAAGGAGTTGTCCTCAAGTTGCAGTTTCCTTGGGTATCCCATACACCCCTCAACCCTATCTAAGCCTTAGTTCAATACCCCTTAACCTCTATCGGTCCACCCATTGCACATAGACAGCGGACGGGAAGTAGCGCCAACGGAAAGTGTTCCGGACTTGAAGTAGTTAATGAAGCCAGAAAAAAAAAACAAGCTCAAGGACTGTTTACTGTCTCCAGTGTGCAAGGTCTGAAGAAAACGTGTGTTGCCTGACTGTGCAGGACCCAAAACATAGCGACTCCTAAGAGATAGTGCTACATAGGCAATGTGACAGTGTTTTTAATGTCTACAGAATGCCAACTTTACTTTTGTTCAGGTATTATCAACATAAACTTCTCTCAGTCTCTGAACGTCACTTGCTTGAAGCTCATGGACAGCTTTTTAATGATAAATATTGCAGAAAAAGTGTTCTGTTGCTGTATATAGTGACAAGTCAGGACTTCATTCATGCAGCCTTGTTAAGTTACTGAAAAGTTCACTTAAGCTTCATTAAACTGATAATAATTTTAGTGTATTATAACTTTATTAAGGGAAAAGACCATCAATAAGCCAGTGTGGTCACATCTATGCTTAAAATTAAGAATTCTGTGTGCACAGTTGTGCTCAAAAGTTTGCATACCCTGGCAGACATTGTGAAATATTGATTGTGACATTGATATTAAAAATATGACTGATCATGCCAAAAAACTTTTACTTAGGGATAGTGATCATATGAAGCCATTTATTATCACATAGTTGTTTGGCTCCTTTTTAAATCATAATCATCAATAAATCATAATGATAACAGATATCACCCAAATAGCTCTGAGCAAAAGTTTACATACCCTGGATTGTGTGACCTTGGTACAGACACATAAGGTGACACACACAGGTTAAAATGGCAATAAAAGGTTCACTTCCCCCATCTGCAATTAGTGTCTGTATAAATAATTATCAATGAGTTTGTTAGCTCTCACGTGGATGCACTGAGCAAGGTAGATACTGAGCCATGGAGAGTAGAAAAGAACTGGCAAAACACCTGTGTAACAAGATAATGGAACTTTTTAACCGCTTGCTGCTGCCCACCCGCAATGTACTGTGGACGGGTGGCAGCTATAGGCAAAACAACATAAGGGTACATCTTTCTGGCTGTACTAACACAGGGGGCGCTGCGCTCCCCACCTACAACCGCTATGTCCACCAGACACAGCGGAATGAAGATCCCGGTGAACGGGACCCGGTGATCGCGTGATCGCTATGTGATCATATGATCACAGTGTTAGCAAAGCTGTTATGATTCAATCTGATTCATAACAGCTCTGCTTCTCTTCCTGGTGAGTTGTGATTGGCTCACAGCTCTCACATGATACATGGGGTCAATCACAGAAACCTGTACCATGTGACCAGCTCTGGCCAATTCAATCACACATCACTATTATATTGAAATGTCATGAACTTAATTCATTCATGACAGTTCAAATCAAGCAATGATCTTAATTGCTCATGTAGTGCAAACTGTAACATTGCACTACTTTTATAAAAGTATTTAAAATAAAAAAAGAATTGTAAAAATAAATAAAATAAAAAATACTGTGTAGCAGGAGAGATTAATCCTGTCTCATGGCTGTGATCTGCTGACTGGCCTCTCCTGTGTAACCTGACACTTGCCCTGACACAGACAAAGCAGTGAGGGATTTCAGCCCCCCCTTCTCCTCTCAGACTGTAAGAGAGAGAGAGACAATTATAAGAGCCATTAAAGGAGCCAATGACAAGGACTCTGTCAAACAGGAAGTGCAGGTGCAAAGCATTGTGGACGATGGAGTCTTGAACAGAAACAGCCTTATAGGCTAATATGGAGATAGAATTAAAAAAGAACTGCGAAAGCCATCGTGCTTAGGGAGAGCAGAGTGAAGGGATCCATCTTGGGGTTTCTCCTGAGGAGGGGGAAATTGCATGTGGCAGGAGAGAGATTGGACCTGGCACAGAAGTGCTTATGGGCAGTGCACTGCATGCTTGGTGATCTGGATCAGACAAAGGAACATCCAAACTGAGAGAAGAAGTGGTCTACAGTACAGTCCCTACACTGACAGTGTGAAGTGCTCATGGTGAGGTGACCAGAGGAGCCTGTCATTTCCAGGACGATCGTTTGGGCCTTAGTCACAGGATCTGGTGAGAGGGATTTCTCCCACTGTCAGATGACAGGAACACTGCACACATACTGCCACGGGATTACAATTATACTTTAAGTGTTTAAGGAGTTTAAGTGCACCAACGAAAGTGGCTAGCTGAAGATCCCAAGATTCATCCTGTTACAAAGAGACTGAAGTCACTGGTGCCATACGTGTACGTGCACGCGCATGCGTAGTCAGGCCTCTATATTGCATGGTGTGTGAGGGAATAGCTTTACCTTGGAAAGTAGCTATTAAGCATCATTTGGGTACAGTGTTTTCCTACTGGGCTTGTGGTGTCGGGGGTTAGAAGGGAGAAGTCTGACACAACAGAGAGTCATTCTTCTGCTCTCCTCCTGCTTGGACATCATAGAGCCAAATTTATGTAGAGGAGTTAAATCCACTTTGAGGTCTCCATTTAAGTGTTTGCCTCTGCTCTTGGGGTTATTCATGGTTGGAATCCCTGAAAGCAGCCTGAGTGTAAAAGTGAGTTATATTGCTTTCGGTCACAGTATTTGCTGTTCTCTTGATTCTCCTAACATATACCTGTTGTTAATGTTTATTACTTCCCATAGAGGTCTACAGTAAAGCTGATCTCTGTGTTTTATTATAACGTGTGCTTTTCATTGATCCTTGCACTTACACTATTGCCAGGTGTGCCAGTTGGGGCTGAGACAGTTCTTGGGGTTGAGAGGCAGAGTGGCGGAGTGAACAAACCTAAGCAGCCCCTACGGGGGTATCGCTACAACTGTATTGAGAATTTTTAAAGGTTTTTTTTTTAC